GCTAATAACAACAACAAATAAACTAGGTGGTGCCGATCGCATGTTCTGGAGGGGGAGAGGTAAAGAGGCTATGATAGAATACTTTCATTCAACAGATGCAATTGAGGGATAACAAAAGCCATGATCGATATAAACCCGGTACAAAATGGCATATCCTGGAGCAACACGTCAGACACATTCTCTGATTTCCAATAACAGGGCGTGTGAATCGTCAGATGTGGTCGCACATTTAACCTCCCATACCCCCAGACCCTATGCATTATCAGTAATAATAACTAAACTCACGCAGTTGTGAACAAAGAGGCGCCTTGGTGAGATTCGAACCCACGCCAGCAAGGTGGGGTCTCGCAGCTCTGTTGGTAAGAGCATTGGCTGTACTAAATCCTTCCTTCTGCTGGCCTGGGTTCGAATCCAACTAGGGCCGCCGGGTTTTTCATAGGTGAATCAAATGGATTCAAAGATTGTCTGCATTTCCGAAGGGCCTGTAATTCCTTAAATGCAGGGTATTCGATTTTCCCGTATTTCGTCACAATTTCGGAAGAACCCACTCAGTTTCAAACTAAGACTTATAAAAGGTGTTACAACAAAGTGTTTCATTTTGGGGAACTTTGAAGTTTAAAGTAGAAGCAACTATGGTCAACCAACTGTGTACCCAATTAGTCGGAGGGTAAGTGCTGACTTTATACAATTTTGTAGGTTTGGTGGAAAAGTGTAGAGTACATCACTTATTATAATGTTCACTAGTGGAAAGCACTGTGGTCCGGGAAAATGCGAAGCCCGAAGAAGAATGTATACAGTGACTTTGTGTTCAGTAGAAGCAGAGACAAGTTACGGAAAGCATTTCAGAGAAAAGAGATGCGGCTATCGAGTCCTAATCACATTAAGGATCAACAACTGTAATTACATTTTCACAATATTAACGCCTCGGATGCAGACTAAAGAGGAATCGTCGCATCGTGTACGATTTCTAATGATAGACACCAAACCTGCTAACTGAACTAGGCACGTAGGTTGTATGAGTAGTATTTTCTTCTTGAAAACATAGTCAGGGGAGATTTGTGAGCTGCCAAGGAAGATAGGAAGCAGCTTGTTTGGTGTCTAACCTTGCGGTTGATAGAAAATTGGATCTGTCCCACCTCCTCTCATCCACCTTTGGC